TCAGATTCTTAATCAGCGACCCCAAAAACCCCCGAGTAACAAAATTCAGGCAAATCCAGTTACATTTTGTCAATTTGACCAATATTGCACAAAATTTTCACATTTTACAATGATTTTGACGCCATATTTGGTCCGCCATCTTGAAATTTTTCATTCTACTTAACGTTTCTCGAAAGTACACAACTTTTATGCACCTATGGTTGACAATTTAATTTTATTCTTACATTTTTTCCGATTGAAAAAAAATGTCAAACTGAAAAAAATGAAACTTTTTTTGTGTTTTTTGATATTTAAACCGCCATATTTAATTTCGGCTTAGACGAAATTAATTTTTGATACCGGAATCGGAAAGAGCACACTCAAGACCTATAGGAAATGTACCTCTCGTAGAAAATGTTGACCGATTTATTTAAAATAACGTAACCTGAATGTGTACAAAGAATTTTCAGTTTTTGGGCGTTAATGGGTTAATATAAATCAACTGAAACGTTTTTTTGTGCATTAAAAGATATTATTTGTACTTGTCATTATAATAATACTAAAAGTTTTTTTTATATTTTAGAGGCTGATAATAAATTTAATAAAATGCAATCAGTGTCGGAAGATAACTTGAAAGATTGTCAAAAAAATCATTCGATTAATTGTTTATGTCAAATTATATGTTTTATTTATCAGCCGGCGAAAATCCATGTGCGCCAAGAATGCTAAATACATGTAAACCGATAAATGTATTAATATGCGCAGAAGCCCAATTTTAGTCTACTGCACCGACTACTTGCCAAGTACGCCTCCTTCATTGCCCTCATATTATACGTTACCGTTCTCTATAGGACGCAAGCGAAGTTACTCCTCCTGTCTCTAGTCTTCTCGGTCTAAAACCACTGACGGTCGTCTTCTAAACTGCGCATGCGCATAGTTCTGCACCAATCGAAAATTGTCGTGACACTTTATGATGCAGTTTCTCAGCTGTTGCGTATGCGTGACTTAGTAGTGAGTCGAAGCCACAAAAAAAGAAGAAGAAGAAGACTTAGTAGTGACAAAGATTGGTTTTATTTTCCTTCTATTGAGCGGATATTTAAGGCGGGGCCGAGGGGTTGTTAACTCGCGAATCAATGGTTGAATCAACGCGGTTATGAATCGATTCACTTTGCATTCATTACGACACTAGATGTTAAATTTTCCCTTTTCTCAAAATTAGTGTATAGCAAAATCTGAATCTAATTTACACGAGTTCCATTGTTTATTATGGTTGCTGGTAGGGGTGACCGGGGCTGAAAGTGCCGATTTTGAGAAAACTAAATAAATGCTAGTAAAATGAGAACTTTTTGTTTTAATCTATAGTCTATCTATTTTAGAATTTAATGTAGTTTTTAAATCCCTTATAATTTTTTGATAATTTTGAACAGTTTTTTTGTAAAATATGATTTTGTGCAGCGAGGTAACACGGCACGTTGAACTCAGTGCTGGGGAGAGTTGTACCGACGCCGGGGTCGGTTGTGCCGCTCAGATTTTTTAGTTGTTTCAGTCGAAGCAAATGATTTTACGCGTAAGAAATAAAATAATTATTGCCAATATACCGTAAAATGGGGTAAAGTCGGCGTTTGGGGGTAAAGTCGGCCGGCGCTTTAAATCATTTTAAAGTTTAACTATTACTTTTTTCCAGAAGAAATCCGAGTTTTATTAAAAATGTAGTTAGAATTAATGTAAATTAATAAATGAAATACAATATTTAAGTGTTTAAAGCGCCGGCCGACTTTACCCGCAAACGCCGACTTTACCCCATTTTACGGTATGATATAATATTATTTATTAATCATTTGTTATAAACTTTTAAAGGTTTTTAGGAACAATCTTAAGATTTCTAGATTTTAGTAAGTACAAATAAACATTTTCTGACTTATATTCTATAATTGCATAGTTAGTCAGTCACTTAAAATATAGTTTTCGTAATAAGTATTTTTATTATAAACATTCAAAAGATTTTTCCAACAATTGTAACATTTATAGATTTTTTAAAATCACAGTAAAGTTGGTTGTATCATTTTCTATTGCAACGTTTTGATGTACATAAGTTATATCAAAATGAGAGCGTTTTGTAAATCATTTTTAAAAATGATACACGAAGCGGTCTCATTTTTTGATGCAAAAAATTTAATCAACTTATATTAATCATGGCCGAAATGAATCGACTGAAAAATAAACGATTTATTTTCAGTTATTTTCGTAATAGTGTAATTGTGGCGACTATTTAACTATTTAATTTGAAAATGAAAATAACAGAAAATCAAAGACAATGTGCAATTCGATAATTAAATAGTGACAGCTTATAAACATAACCTAAAATGCATGAGAAAAAATTTGTCGATAAAATCAATATAGCCGAGCTTTTTAGAAGGTAGATGGCAGCACTCATCTATTTTCTTCCTTTAAATTTTTTCTGAATCGTTTTTATAAAAAGCAAAACTGCCATCTACGTTCTAAAAAGCTCGGCTATATTGATTTTATCGACAAATTTTTTCTCATGCATTTTAGGTTATGTTTATAAGCTGTCACTTTTTAATTATCGAATTGCACATTGTCTTTGATTTTCTGTTATTTTCATTTTCAAATTAAATAGTGCAATGGTCTCCGCAATTGTACTATTACCAAAATATCTGAACAAAATTCGTTCAATTTTGAGTCGATTCAATTCGGCCATGATTGATATAAATTGATTAAATTTTTTACATCAAAAAATAAGACCGTTTCGCGTATCATTTCTAAAAATGATACTCAAAACGATCTCTTTTTGATATAACTTATGTGCATCAAAACGTTGCAAAGATTTGATGCAATTTTTGGTCTCAATTTGATACTTTTAGGAAAACTGTGATAAATAAACATTTCTGACTTAAATTTTACAATTACATAATTAGTCAGTCTTTTGAAATAATTATTTGTATCGTTAATTAATTGTAAAAACTCTACTTTCTGATTAATAAATAATTTTTAAGACATGATTACTTATTCCAAATGCGATTTATTGAAATTACAATTGACACACATATAACTGACTCTTTTGTTACCCTTCACACATTTTATATGTGTCCAGTTTTTGCAAACTATGCATTGAATCAACTTTTCTCTTGATTTTGGGTTGGAATAACTATTCGAACAAACGAGGCAATAGTAGATTATCGTTATGTAGCGTTTGACAGCGGCACAACCAGCCTCAAGCGAAAGGCACAATTAACCTCGTTGCGTCGACGCTCACTTTTTATCAAATATTAAAAAACTAGATAAATTAAATGTTAAGATCAATACACCATTGAATCCCTTGATAAATTTGAATCATTTTAAAAAAAATATGTATTGATATCTTTAAAAATGCAAAAAAAAGACCAAAAAGCGTAAACATGAAAACTTGCACGTAAGTGACACCAAAGCACCAAATTACTAACAGCTAATTATTCCGTGAAGCAAACAAAATCAAAATAGTTGCCAAAGATGGGCATAAGTAAAACAATACTTCTCTCAGTTTCACTTTAAAAAAAAAAATTTTGTTTTTGAGATATTCCTAACGGCACAACTTACCCCCGGCACTTTCAGCCCGGTCTCCCCTAATCTACTAGCTGTAAAAATCCCTAGATTTAGATAATTTAGGAACATGAATCACTTGAAATAAATTGAAATCCTTGCCTACACTATTTATATTATCTCTATGGTAAACATTTATTTTATTAATTGCTTCTACTTCTGGATTTTTAAATTTATCTTCAATTCTGTCAGTATTGCGCGGAAGATACCTGGAGCCCGTATTCCTAGGTTGTGGGGGGATGGCCGCTCTTGTTCTGGTTGATCCACTAAAAACGACAGCGGAAATGGAAAGAGATAAACTACATATTCTCCTCCCCCTTTCGCGGGAACTCAGTCGAGCATTAGGATTAAACGATCCAAAACGAATTGCACATGACAAGTGAACATATTTTCCGTGTACAGCGATTTAGTTCTGGGAACCAAACTATTTAGTTCGTAAACATGAGAACTTCAAATATATTTTTTGGTAGAGCCAACTAAATTTCCCGATTGCTTAACACTTTCTACTCTGTTGTGACAACCATATTTTAGTAAGGCTAACTAAAAATGCTCAACTAAATTATTTTCTTATTACTACGAAATTATTTTTCTTAGTGTATAAGAATGTAGTCAACTAAAAGAATTTCAGGATAAAAAATGAAATTCTTGTACAAGAAAATGTACATGTTCATCAGCTGAACTGGTACCAGTTCTGGTGCTGAAAATGTAAATTTTCTTGCACCAGAATTTGGAACAAATTCTTTTATCAGGTACAAGAAAACATACTTGTGCAAGAAAATGTAAATGTGCTTGTACATATTCTTGTGTAAGTTCATGTACAAGTACTCACACATGAAACCATTCTTGTCTTGTACAAGTACATTTGAAAAAAAAATTGAGATTTTAATAATTTATAATCATTAAAACTCTTCATTTATGCATGTTAACAATTATTGCGCAGCTATAAAGTCTTAAGAAAACTACTGCGCAGTCTTTAAAATTTTTAATTTTTACTAAACGAAAACATAAATGAACATGTACAAGAAAATTTAACAAATCTGGTGCAAGAAAATGAACATGAACCTGCACAAGAATATGTACAAGAACACATTTTTTTTGTATACAAATATTAAATAAATTTTCTTATACAGGGATTTTCAATAGGGTATTGAGGCAAAATAGTATATTAAACAAAATGTTAATTATGTTATTATTTAATTTATTTATAAATTAAGATTATAGGCCAATTTTTTACCATAGTTTATCAATTTATTAAGATAAACGACCTTTCGGGAACTGCCGCTATCCTTATCAAGTTTACATTTAGTACACTAAAAAAAATATAATTTTGAGATTAACATTAATTATTATATTTATATATTTTGTTTTACATCAAATTTAGAAAAAGTTTGACTTACGTTAGAAACTGTTGTATATTTTTTCAGATTAATTTGAATAGTTTGGAACAATACAGAAAGAATTAGATTTACAAAATGTGGAATATGATGTGTGATGTAATGCCAACTATCGTAGAAGATAGCATTAGTCAACGAAGCTCTCAATTCTCTGGGGAAGATGCTAATTTTGAGCAACTTATGGTCTCCATGCTGGATGAGAGAGATAAGTTAATGGATTCTTTGCGCGAAAGTCAAGAAAGGTTACAAGAAGCAGAATCAAGACTTCAAGAATTAGAGAAGGAACGAGATGTATTAAATCGACAAATCACATCAAGTGTGCCTCAGGTAATTTTATATATAACACCTACATCATTGATGCCGATTTTAATTTTATTATCAAGGTTTATGACTGTATGACAGTCGACCACGTCAGAATAACTTTGTAGAAGAAAAATATCATATGTTTTACAAAAATTTACACTATTTAACTTCATTTTATTTAAACCCTAGTGAAAAAATATGGGTGTAAAAATTCTTTTTCGAAAAATTTTTAAAGTATCAAATACAAGTGTGTATGGAGTTATACTGTATAGAGTGTATAAAGGTTTTGCGCCGTGCAGCCTACCTACAGGTCTCAAATCTCAACCAAAATCAAGAAATAAAATTTTTATCGTTAAAATGCACAAATACGCTTTGCTTTATTAAAAGTAATTTCTTTTAACTTTGGTCTTTATTTTTTGTTCGTAAGATTGATTTTAAAATTTTTTTATAAAAGTCTAGAATTAAGGAATTTAAATTTAAATATATACCTAAATGAAAACTTTAATATTTTACGGGAAATGATTTTTGTATATTTTTTTTTAATGAAAACTTTTACTGATCTTTTAAAAGCAAAGTTCACATAACGGAAAAGTCGTTGAAAATAAATAAACATTACACCTGTCAAGCTCGGGCTCGACTCGACTCGAAAAAATTTCGACTCGACTCAAAATTCGAGCTTTTTGCACATCTCTAGTAATAATTAAAAGCAGAAAATAAGAGAATTTAATTCTAGGTTAAACCTAATAGTGTGACTATGAAAATAAAAATTGCAAATAACTCAGCAAATTTTTAACGAAACGTGTTCAAAAAAATTTCATTCGACGCAGAATTAAATACTCTTTAAAAGCATAAACAGAAAAAAATTATTCTAAATGTAATTGTGACCGTTAATTAGTGTTTAAGTTGAAAAATTACTTAAAAATTTACAATTTTAGGGGTTTACAATTTGTTAGGGTTAAAAAGCTCATTTCTTCAGCTTTAAAATGAAAAAAATCATTAAATTTGGACCAAACTGACTTCAGATTTGTAATCTGCGGCCTCGAAAACCTCTAGATACAAAATTTAAAGAAAATCTATAAAGTTTTTAAAAATTCGTTCTCCATATTGAAATTGCAGTATCAAAATTAAAACTGATTTAACTCCTACAATTTTAGATATTTTAAAAATTCCTTTTACTTACACATTGCTTTTATATGAAACTATAATTTTACTACGTATCATTAAAATCGAAGAACCACTTGCAGATTCGGATATTTCTGACGTAGTCTTAGCTATCACTTTTTTCAAAGTCGTAGTAATATTTTAAATAATATTGTCTAATATAAATAATAGTAAATTGTTTATATTTTCCCACAGGAATTTTCACAGTTAACAAAAGAATTAACATTGGCTCGGGAAAGTATTTTGGAAAAAGAAGAAGAGATATCAGAGCTAAAAGCAGAGCGAAATAACACTAGGGTAAGTAATGTCAGACGGCCAAGCAAGGTGTTGCCCAATTTTTTGTTTTTTCAGTCCTTTTTTTATTTTACTTCACTCCTTTTCCTCAAAAAATTCCTTGTTCTATTATGTCTTACATATTTAATTACTATCTAATACTTTTTAAAATATTCGTAATAATTCACATTGACTATAATAATTTTATTTATAAATGAATGAATCTCGTTGTCTAACGTCGCCGTTTAAATATATAGACAAAATGGATTAAATAAAAAAGCATATTTAACATATTTACGGAATTATCTGTCGATAATAATTGCCCAAGATTCGAAACCTCAATTCTGTAGTTTGTATACAAGATACAAGTTTGTACTTTAAGTCTTGAGGAATTTTGCTAATAGAGAAGAAAGGGGTATTGTAGTGCACTTTTTTTGAAGACTCCTGCAGTCGCATTTTTGCATAGATTTTGACCAACATACAAAAATTTGTGGGGCAACGTACACTTTTAAAAAAGTTCGTACTTCTAAGTGGGGGAAATAGGTGCAGAGCTTCAAAAAATTCAATTTTTTTTCTTTTCATAAATCGGTTGTAAAACTATTGAAAAATATAATCTAAAAATTCCAAATGAAAATATCGAGCCGTTTAAAGGTTATAAACAATTAAGTGAGTGTCCCTCTAGACTGAAAAAAAGTTAATTGAATCAAGTTAATGCATTTACTTGAGGTACTTGACTTGAAACAAGACGATATTTTTTATTGGAAGAAATTTATTTTCTTGAGTCAAGTAATTTTGAGCATTGAGCAATGTTCTTGAAATAAGAAAATATGAGTTTCATACAAGTAAATATATCTTACTGTTTCACCGTCCGACACGATTTTTCACACACGAAAAAATCAATGATTTCCAGAAACTAGGACCAAAAAAAAGATACCCGTGTCTGGCCGTTTTGCTAGATCAGGTCATTTTTTGCTTTTAGGGGTAAAAACAACCCTTAATTGAAAGGTGATAGGAAATCTTGTACAAATTAATAATTTTTTATGAAACCTGGTATCTCGGGGTTTTCCGGGTCGCTGACCCTAGTCTAGGGGTTTTTGGGTTCGCTGATAATAACATAATAATAATAATAATAACATAATAACATTTTTAAATTTCGACCACCATATTGGATCCGCCATTTTGAATTTTGAAAACCCGACATCAAATTCGTAATCAGCAACCCCAAAAACCTTCAAGTAACAAGTTTCAAGTGAATTCGACGAACTTTTATAAATTTCAAACGCCATATTGAATCTGCCATTTTGAATTTTAAGAATCTGACTTCAGATTCGTATTCAGCGACCCCAAAAACCCCTAGAAACCAAGTTTTATAAAAAATAATTAATATTTATAAATTTCGACCGCCATATTGGATCCGCCATATTGAATTTTGAAAATCTGACATCAGATTCGTAATCAACGACCCGGAAAACCCCGAGATACCAGGTTTCATAAAAAATTATTTATTTGTACAAGATTTCCTATCACCTTTCAATTAAGGGTTGTTTTTACCCCTAAAAGCAAAAAATGACCTGATCTATCAAAACGGCCAGACACGGGTATCTTTTTTTTGGTCCTAGTTTCTGAAAATCATTGATTTTTTCGTTTGTGAAAAAAAAAGTTGAATTTTGTCGGACGGTGTTTCAAGCGAAATGTTTTACTTGCGTCAAGAACAGAAAAAGAATTGAGTCAAGAATATTATTTTCTCATGTCAAGTAATTTACGTTGAGTATTTTATTTTCTAGGGTCATATCGTTTTGTTGTTTCTCTCAAAACAACTTTTTACTTAATCTAATACTTATAGTCTTGATCCAAGAAAATGGAAAGATTAATAGAAAAAAATACTTGTTTCAACTTGATTAAAATTTATATTGTTTGAATTAAACATTAATCAATCCAAGTGTTTAATATACTTTAAGCATTTTCATATTATATTGTTTCAAGAACATTCAATTTGTAAAGAAAGTATTTCTTTGAATTCATAAAAATTATTCGCGTAGAATTAAATTCAAACATAGTATATCATATATAGATATACTCTAGTCAGTTCTCTCGCAGCCAGCCAAGTAGAGAGTAACGAACGTGCACGCTTGCCGCGCCACCTGCGCTCTCCCCTTACCGCGCGCGCCACAACTCTCTCTCCTCGCTCGTTCAATATACCTGCCTGCACGATTCCAAATCCTCAGTTCGCCGACGACCGGCCTCGAGGTGCTTCTCGGGCCAACCGACGGCGAATTCACCTCTCTCTGTGCCTCGATCTATATTCCAGCCTTCTCTTTTCTTTCTTTCACCTGGTGAACCGGAGGTCTGTAGGCGCTTCTGTGACCCCTAGTTCACCAGCTCTTCCCAGAAGGTGTTGTACCGTTCTGTAGGTACTTCTGCGAACTTGGTAACACCCTTCGCCCGCTTTCCACATCCTGACCCCGAATACTCCTGGTCACTCTATAGGTGTTTCTGTGAGAGACCAGGGTTTTCCCTTTTTTCCTCCTGGTGAACAGGATTTCTTATGGGTGCTTCCGTGGAAATCTGGTGCACCAGGCTCACACACACTTACACTTGAATACACATAACACGAGACCGTTCTGGCCAAGTTAAGGTGCGCTTCTCTCTTGACCAAGACGATGCTCCACGACGATTTCCCATCTCGAGTGGAGAAATCTTGTGGAGAAAATTATCTGCACTAGCTTCGTGTCGGGCAAGAATATGGGAACCGAATCCCATATCTAGCTTCTCCCCGATTTTCGAAATCGACCTAGCGTGCACGACCCTAGACATTGTCCGCGATTTGGCTAGAGGGTTACTTTCTAGAACGTACCCCGCGCATTTGAATTCCAGTCATCCTGACTATCGTCTCCGTGGCGGGTAGTTAACGAGTAATTGTTCCAAACTTCTTTGTTTTCAGAACCGCTCCGAGCAAGGCTGGAGAAAGACCGAGCGAGCGAAAGACTAGCTAGGCTAGTCTCTCTTTCTTTTTTTTGAGGATAACATTCTTTTATTTTACACTTTTTTTTGGATTATATAGAATCATATTTTTTATTTACATTTATTTAGTATTGTATAATTTCTTTTGAGTATTATTTTTTTATTGCTAATTTAACCTATTCTATTTGATTTTTATTTTAAAATATATTTTCTTACGAAGGTTTAAATTATGTTTTATCACTGACTTTAACCTTTCCTTGCGAGATCACAAAGCTCCTATCGCAACTTATTTAAAATTAGTAAAATAGATTGCGCTTCACGCCATCTACAACTAAAATCTAGAACTAAGTGTAAATTATGTACCCGGACTCCACCCGGCGAGCGAATCTTTTGGCACATTAAAAAAATCAGATCATTCCAAATTTCTAGAAATAATATTATATTATCTTAAATAAAATAATTTATTTTTTCAGTTGAAATAGTGATATAATGTTGAATAAAATTATTTTTTTGTTTCCTTGAAAATATTTTTTATTTAATTCAACGCTAATATAGTCTTGAGTCAAGAAAATGCGAATATTAATATAAGTAAATACTTGTTTTAACTTGATTAACGCATAGTTCTTGAATTAAGAATTTAGTATTTGGCAGAAGTAAATATGTTATTATCGCAACCCAATATTTTATTTTCCCGAAGTACCAAAAAGTATTCAATCAAGAATATTAGGTTATTAAGGAAAATAATAAAATATTGTCTGAAGAATTTTCATTTCTTGAATCAAATAGTTTTATTCATTTGCTTTGAATTAATTTTTTACTTAATACAAATCCCGTATTATTGATCCAAGAAAATATTACTCTCCAAATGGATGTGAAACTTAAATAGGAGTTTTTGAAAACCATCAATTGAGTCAGAATGGCATAGTGGTCTACGTTACTGCCTTTGGTGCGCGCAACTCGGGTTCAGTTTCTCGGACCGTGAAAAATTTTCATTCAAGGTATACTTGTTTCAGTTGTATTAAGTATTAATTAAATATAAATGTGTATGTAAAATAAACATTATTTAAATAAATAATAAAAAATATGAATGTTAATAATAAATAAAAATGTTTGACTTAAGAATTAGACATGGTGGGATAAGGAAGGAGTGTAGGAGGGGGGGGGGGGTAAATTCAAGTAAATATTTACTTGTATTGGAAAAATATTTTTTTGGTTCAACTCCATAAGTTTTCTCAAGTCAAGAAAATATTTTCTTGAGTTAATATATATATGATCTTGACTTAATATATTTTACATTTCTTAGAAGTCAATAAACTTCTTAGACGAATTCCATATTTTCTTGGACCAAGAACATATGGTCTCCTCACAATATAAATAATATTTTGATTTAAATCTTGTCTTACTTGATCCAATATTGCAAAGATTTGAATGAATCAAATGAAACAATTGATTTGACTACATATATTCTCAGAACAAGAAAATATTTTCTTCCTTTAATGTATTTTACATTTGTTACAAGTTGATTAATATATTGCCCGAATTCCATATTTTCTTGGATCAAGAATATATGCTCTCGTCCCAAATATACTATCTCAAGACAATCGTTTACTTGAACCAATGCCGTAATTGACTTGTCCCTATTCAATTCCACGGTTTACTTGAAGCAAGTAAAATTTTCTTGATTCAATACTATTTTTTTCAGTGTATAGTGGGTCAGAACGCGCTATGGCAAAAAAAACACGCCATATTGGATCCGACATTTTGAATTTTTAAAAACTGACCTCAGATTCGTAATCAGAGACCCCGAAAACATAGTATACAGTATTGTTTGAAACATTTCGATTATTTCCGAATTGCGTGATTCAAAGAATTAACCTTTTCTGACACTTTTTTGGAAATTGTGTACACTCTAGCTCAAAAAGTTTTTAATCAATGATTCTGAAATTTGGCATGTAGTTTCGTTATAGAAATACGCTCTATGTGAACCTCAATCCTAGACAATATCTTTGTTTAATTTTGGTTTTTGTTATAAAAAAAGTATGAAAAAATGGTAAAAAATCATG